ATAATTTCCCTTTGGGATTAATAAAGTATTTTTGAATTGAATTGAATAGAAAATCGAAGACGGTCTTTGTCGTGTGTATGTGAACTGACCATCCCAGTTATTTGAGGAGACTATGCTTTCTAGTTTTTATACTGCTTAAAGTACAGTTTTCCTCAAATGACTGAGGTGTCTAAAGATTAATCTGTGGTGGCTAAGGCCACCACTGACCTCCCTCTGACTCGGCCACTGTTCCTGGTCATGGATAAAACTGCTCACTACACCCACCAGGATCTGTCACTCTGCATTTCCACCGACAAGCAAAAAAAAAAAAATCACTTCTATTGCTTTACACAATAACTCCTCCCCACTTGAATATCTTGCACCAAAACACTTCCTGTTCAGTTCCAGTCCAGAAAAACACTCATCTCCAAAACTACAAACGTTCACTATTCATATCCATCAGTGATGGGGGACACTGGCATATTGCACGTTTTGTAAATGTTTCCTCTTTGTCAGTTGCGTGTGAAACAGTAGAACTAGTCTTTCCAAATAAACCTAGGGTCAGAGCACAAAGGTCCTTTATGAGCACTGGCACCACTGGGACCTTGACTCTCCACAACGTATCTACTTCCTCTTTCAGCTCTTGGTATTTCTCAGGCTTCTCGTGCACCTTCTTCCTGATGTTGCTTGGGTTTGCTACATCTGTCACCACTGCCTTCTTCTGGAGCTTATTAACCAACACATTGTCCGGATGGTTTGCCATCATCTGTTCTCAGTCGTAATGTAAAAAAAATAAGTAAATTAAATGTGTCTACTTACTGCAATTATTTCTTCTTTAGAAGTTGGGTGTGAGTGGAGCTAGTGTTGTCAGATAAACAACGAAACACCTTGTGAAACTTTTACACACTTGGCTTGTAATATCATTACGACAAACTTACAAAGAGCACTTTTCTTTCATTTCAATACAAATTAGTAAAAATGTTATTACACCAGGAGAATCATATTATCTACATTTAAACCATCTGTAAAAAAAAGCTGAGTCCTTTTTTATATTCCACCGTATTGTTTTTTTACTATTTTTCTTTTGGACCTTGTAAATATTATATTTATTTTTCACTTTTTGATACTTTATTTTGTACACTTATCACACTTATTTCTTGTTTGTTTGTTCTTTGTTTTTAGTGAGTCAGATCGGTTCTTCTCATCCTGAACGTTTCATTGTGTTGACCCCTTGTTAACCTGCATATGACAAATAAACAACATAACATAACATGTGGTCTGTGGTTTTTCATTCAGCCACTAAGCACATGGAATTTATTTTTATCCTTAAGTTACAGTAAAGTGTTCTTAAAATATCTAAACTGTACTACAAAACCACAGGCAGGTTATTGTACAACATTTGAAATACATTAACATTAACACAAATAATGGGAAATGGACTGTACTTGCATAACACCTTTCTATCTAGTCAAGATACTCAAAGCGCTTTACAACACAATGTGTGTCCTCATTTACCCATTCATACAGCACACTACTAGATCTATACAGAGCTAATCTGAACCTAGAGAGACTAATCTGAGCTTTAAGTCAGCCTCCCCACCACCACAGACATCTACACCTCCAGATGCAGGAAGAGGACCACCTGCATCATGAAGGACTCCACTCACCCAGCACACAGACTTTTTGCCCCGCTCCCCTCAGGAAGGAGGTTGAGGAGCATTAAGTGTAGAACCACTAGACTGAGGAACAGCTTCTACCCTGAGGCTGTTAGACTCATGAATCTCTAACCAGAATAATCACTGTAATTACACTTTAATTGGAGATGTGTCACTTTGTCTGTGCTGCTGATCTCTTGCCTTTAAACTGCTGCATTCATACCCATCTGCTCACAACAGACTCATGTTCAGGCTGCTGTTTAATACACCGTTTTATTTTACCGTGCATAACATCATCAAAAGATTCAGAGAATCTGGAACAATCGCTGTGCGTAAGGGTCAAGGCCGTAAAACTCTACTGGATGCTCGTGATCTCCGGGCCCTTAAACGTCACTGCACCTCAAACAGAATGCCACTGTCAAGGAAATAACAGAATGGGCTCGGGAATACTTCCCGAAAGCATTGTCAGTGAACACAATCCACCGTGCCATCCGCCGTTGCCAGCTGAAACTCTACAGTGCAAAGAGGAAGCAATTTCTAAGCAAGCTCCACAAGCTCAGACGTTTGCACTGGGCCAGGGGTCATTTAAAATGGAGTGTGGCAAAATGGAAGACTGTTCTGTGGTCAGATGAGTCACGATTTGAAGTTCTTTATGGAACACTGGGACGCCATGTCATCCGGACCAGAGAGGACAAGGATAGCCCAAGTTGTTATCAACGCTCCGTTCAGAAGCCTGCATCACTGATGGTATGGGGTTGCATGAGCGCTTGCAGCATGGGCAGCTTGCATGTCTGGAAAGGCACCATTAATGCAGAGAACTATGTTCAGGTTCTAGAACAACATATGCTCCCATCTAGACGTCATCTCTTTCAGGGAAGACCCTGCATTTTTCAACACGATAATGCCAGACCACATTCTGCAGCAATCACAACATCATGGCTACGTAGGAGAAGGATCCGGGTACTGAAATGGCCAGCCTGCAGTCCAGATCTTTCACCTATAGAGAACATTTGGCGCATCATAAAGAGGAAGGTGCGACAAAGAAGGCCCAAGACGATTGAACAGTTAGAGGCCTGTATTAGACATGAATGGGAGAGCATTCCTATTTCTAAACTGGAGAAACTGGTCTCCTCTGTCCCCAGACGTCTGTTGAGTGTTGTAAGAAGAAGGGGGGATGCCACACAGTGGTAAAAATGGACTTGTCCCAACTTTTTGGGGATTTGTTGACGCCATGAAATTTGGAAACAACAGATTTTTCCCTTAAAATGATACATTCTCTCAGTTTAAACTTTTGATCTGTGATTTGTGTTCTATTCTGAATAAAATATTAGATGTTGGCACCTCCACAGCAATCACTGTTTGCGCATACGTGGTGACCTTTATGTCAGAAAAGGTTGGTCTCTGATTGGCTAACCTGTGTGTCAATCAAGCAAGGATTTGCTTAGTGAAGATGGTTTGATCGGCTGACGTCTATTGAAATAATAATAATAAAAAAAAAGGTCTGACATCTATTTCGCCATGCGATCTACTGATATTACCTTTGTGATCTACCAGTAGATTGCGATCGCCATATTGGGCACCCCTGGTTTACATGAACCTAAATGTCTGCTGCAGCCAGCGAACAGGGGGAGCTGGCGCCATTGTGGCTTCAGCTTCAGCATTACATCCCCATATCTACTTATCAATATGTGTCAATGCTTTGTACGAAAATTCATCGGCAGAAGCCACCCTAATGATATCTTGTAAGATACATTTATAAGCTCACTACCTCTACTATTTCTTGTAAGAACTGCAAAGTATTTGGTGTAAATGGATAATAGTTTTTTTCTAGTCTACACTTTAAAAAATGGATGTGTGAGGCTGTGAATGGAAGTTTGTGGTATTAGAGACTAAACATTGTTGAAATTCTTCTCTGCCTTTGACGCAATGTGTTCAGCAATTCTGGCTTCTGGTTCTGTTGCGAGCTCTTGTGGGTGTCGGAGAGGCCAGCTACTCCACCGTCGCCCCCACCATCATTGGAGATCTCTTCACCGGAGGTCGGCGAAGCGTCATGATCTGCATCTTCTACATCTTTATACCTGTTGGAAGGTTGGAAACAAACCCCGTCTTTGTTTTGTTTTGTCTGTTTGCCTTTTTTTTAAATCATTATTACTGTAGAATAATCTGGAGAAAAAAAAATTCTGTGGAATAATCCGAGTAATCTGACCAACATGATGCTGTAGTTAGATGTACTTCATTAATCTTAATTCAAAGGAAAGAGTATGCACAAAATGACTCAAATGATGTATTTAAACACAGTAAACAAGAGAGGACATCTACAAATTTATTGAACAAATGCAAACTAAATATGACTCCAGGAAACTCGAGGAACTATATACACATATATGTACCATCAGCTAGCTGTAGCATTTCCTGTTAAACCTGGGCCACTTCCTGCAGGACGATCATAATTGTTTGTGCTGAGATACCAATGGAAACAATAAACTGAAGGCGAAGGTTTATAGAATATTCCATCAAAGTTCAGTCAGATCCTCTGGACGGTTTCTTCTTGTTGAAACGTTTCGTCTTTGTCCAAAAGACTTCATCAGACCGAGGAGCCACAACAAACCCAGTCTTATAAATAGCACCTTCTCATAGTGGATCAACCAGTTTGATGGTGCTCAGATGGTTTCTGGAGTCCGCCCTCTCCCCCGCCAACTCGTTTGAGACCGTCACGGATGACGCGTTTCAGAACATCCTGATTCGTTCTCAATAATCCAGGTAGAAAAACTGGTTGATCCACTATGTGAACGCGCCATTTATAAGACTGAGTATGTTGCAGCTTGTCGGACTGACGAAGTCCTTTGGATGAAAGATGAAACGTTTCAACAAAAAGAACCCATCCAGAGGACCTGACTTCACTTTGTTGGATTTTTACCTGGATTGATTATTGAGCGTGAATCAGGATGTTTTTAGTATATTATTTACATAAACCACCAATAACTTTTTGATAATGATGATTTACAAAGGCTTCTGCCCGCTTCAGTTTTGCCCCTCCCCCCAGCATAATATGCTGATTATGTTTGTTTTGAATGTGCTTTATTGCTCTGTGCAGTGATTACAAACACCACGTCAGCTTTATTCTGCAAGTGTTTTCATATGTTTTGTAAAATAATGGTTCAGCGTGCATTAGTCAACTTTGCTGTGTGTTTTCAGCGGTCTTGGATACATAACCGGAGCAGGGAGTGTGAGTCTTACGGGGGACTGGCACTGGGCTCTCAGGGTAACATCAGATTCATTATCACAGTCCTATGGAGATTGGTTTTATCTGAAGGTAAAAGGATTTTATGGATATTTCTTTCTTGGTCTCAGATCACTCCCATCATGGGTGCAGTGGGACTCATCCTGCTGGTGTTCCTGTGTCCTAACCCGCCTCGAGGTGCTGCAGAAACCAACGGAGACGGCGTCATTGGAAATAGCTCCTACATGGAGGACGTGAAGTATCTGCTGAAAACGTAGGATGTGAAACAAAAACTGGATTTGTTCCACAACCTATAATTATTTATTTATTTACATTTTTTTTTTCGCATTAAATTTTCAACCGGAAACATTTGGACTCTCCAAAAGTTTGATTATTTAGAAAGTAAAAAAACGAGTTGTTACAGTTTTAAATGATCAGCAGGAATGCATAACGCCCGCTGCTTTTCATGACGGATTACCTTCTTATGCTGAGAAATAACAGAGTTGTAGCCATTCTGATCAAACACTGATATTAGATGTGATCTCGTGCAAATTGTGAGATGTTCTGAAAGTTGTGAATGACTCTCAGCTACTACCACACAGAGTTTTAGGTCATTATCTGTCAAATTGATTGTTATAGATATTTTTGTGCTTTTAGCAGTTTCTAAATACGAGATAAATCCTGAAGCTTTTCTGGTGTAATTTTTTTTGCTAAATGAAAGGTTTTGATACGTTTGCAGCGGTGTAATGCTTATGATGAATATTTGAAGTAGTAGTTTGTTTTTTTACACGAGCAGATGATTCTCTGGTCTTCTCTGAATCCTCTGCAGTAAAAGTTACGTTTGGTCGTCACTGGGAGTGACCGCTCTGGCCTTCCTCACCGGAGCCTTGGCTTTCTGGTTGCCCACCTTCTTGACCCGAGCTCACGTCACTCAGGGTCTCCGACCTTCGTGCACCGGAGACACCTGCAACACCACAGACAGGTGCAGCGTGACCTTTGACCTTTATTTGTCTCGTTCTTTTTAAATCTCAGCAGAGCAGAAATTGTGTTGTGTGCTTCGATGCTCCACAGTTTTATCTTTGGTGCTGTGACCGTGGCAACAGGTGTTCTGGGAGGGGCTTTGGGCACCACCATATCCAGACGCTTGGTGGGCAGGTTTCCACACGCGGACCCCCTCATCTGTGCAGTGGGCATGCTGGGATCAGTCCCCTGCCTGTTCGTCATCATTTTTGTGGCATCGTCAAGCATTCCAGCTACTTATGTAAGAAATAAACTCTTTGTGAGCATTTTTATTTGCATTTTCTTTTTGTCCTTTTTGGTTTTTTGGAACAATAATTCCCAAACTTTTCAGGTTCTGACCCACAAAATAACAGCAGCAGATGTTTGCAACCCCAACAAAAAATGACAAGTCTAAAAAGGAGGATGCAGTAATTACACAACCAACCTAAACTGTTGAAGTCCTTTTTAAATAAAATTATGACTGTTGTGGTTTAAAATGCACTTTTAGTATTATGTTTATTAAAATTTATTTCACAACACCTCAGTTGATGTTTCCTGACTCACAGTGGGTTTATGAGCCTAACTTTGGGGACTGTTGTCGTAGAGGACACAGATGGTGATGAATTTTGTCCAAAAAAGAAAAATTAATGGAAACTTTGGGGAAAGAAAATGAAGACTTTGAAGCCCATTCAGTAATTGTGTAAAAATTATAACAGAAAATCAAGAGAAAAAAGTAAAACGTATTTTATTTTACCATCACATTTACTTTAACTTGTGTTCCATTGTAAACTGGAGGAACTCCGAATCTTTGATCACTTTATTCAGTCGACAAACGTGTTTTGACTCACTCTCACATGCAGCCACTTTAACTTTGACCTCTGTATTTATAATTTGACTAAACTAAAGTCTACTTTATGTTTTTAAGGTCACTTGGCTGCCACCTTAAATTGGGATGTCAGTTGTAGAAGAGCATCTAATGATTATTTCTAGATATTTTGCTAACACGAGACTAAATTAACTCCAAATAGTTAATGGCAACATTCAAAGAAATATCTTGTGCAAACATATATATATATATATATATATATGGAGAGAAACACACAGACAGAAAGGCAGGAAAGTATCAAGTGTAAAAAAAAAAACAGTAATAAGATCTAAGATATGAACTAAGAAAAACATTAATTAAAAATGCACTAATAACTTAAAAACAATAAAAAGAATATGCTGAACAGCAGTACAAACATGAGTCTGTGTGAGCAGATGAGTATGAATGAACACATCAACATGAAACAGATCAGCAGCAACATGAAGCAGATCAGCAGCAACATGATGTGATTTTTCACAGTGATTATTCTGGTTAGAGATTCATGAGTCTAACAGCCTCAGGGTAGAAGCTGTTCCTCAGTCTTATGGTTCTACACCTAATGCTCCACAACCTCCTTCCTGAGGAGAGCGGGGCAAAAAGTGTGTGTGCTGGGTGAGCGTGGTCCTTCATGATGCAGGTGGCCCTCTTCCTGCATTTGAAGGTGTAGATGTCTGTGATGGTGGAGAGGCTGACTCCAACAGACTTCTGTGCACCTTTCACCACTCTCTGCAAAGCTTTTCTTTCAGATGTGGCTTGGTACAAAGTTATTTTCAGTTGTTCAGTGTTATTTATCAAGAGTTCACTAATCTGACAGCTTGTGGATAATAGCTGTCCTTTAGTCTTTTTGTACACGATGACAGACTCCTGTATCGTCTGCCTGAGGGTAGTAGATGGAAGAGTCCTTGTGCTGGGTGGGTGTGGTCCTTAATGATGCTGCATGCTTTACGCTGACATCGACTGTGGTAGATGTCCTGCAGTGTATTGGTTAATTAATCGTTGATGAGCCAAAACATGAAGTAACTTGGGTTCATACTGTCGTCATTAAAATAAAATCACGTATTTTCTGCCTTTTAATGGTTTTACCTTTGCATGTCATCACCTGATGTCTCTGATGTCCGTCTTGTTTCAGGTGTTTATTTTCCTGGGTGAGTTGTTGCTCTCGCTGAACTGGGCTGTCCTGGCTGATATACTGCTGGTGAGTCTGAAGCTTTTAAAGACAACAGTTCGAATTGGTCTGCTGAACGCTGGTGTCAGCTGGTTGTTCTGTTTGAACGTTTTCTTTCAGTATGTTGTTGTGCCAACAAGAAGGGCAACAGCAGAGGCTCTGCAGATCACCATCGGTCATCTCCTGGGAGATGCTGGAAGTCCTTACCTGTTAGGAGTGGTGAGATACACTCTTTTCTTTTAGCTGTTTTTCAGTCCTGCACGCTTTAATGAAGCAGTATTTTCTTTTACAACTCTAATTCTGACAAATGGGGACAATGTATAAAATATAATCAGAATGCAAGGATTTGCATATTTCATAAACCCATATCTTATTCATTGTGGAATATAGTAAACATGTCAAAATAAATTAGACCATTGTATGAAAAAATGTATTTTTAAATTTTTTTGGCTGCAACAAATTAAAATAAAAAGGGGAACGTGTTTTCACGCTTCTTTTAACAACAGTCTGTAAACATGAGGAGAGCAGCTGCTGGAGTTTTTAAAGAGATGTTGTCCCATAAATGTCTGATGGAGGATTCTAGTTGTTCCTGGGTGTTTGCTAGACTTTTCGTCTTACGATGCGTCAAATGTTTTCAGTTGGTGAGAGGTCTGCAGTCCAGAGACCAGTCCAGCACCTGAACTCTTCTTCTATGAAGCCGTGCTGTTGGATGGAAGTTCTCTTGATGAAACGTGCAGGATCTTTTCTGAAAGGGATTTTGTCTGGATGGGAGCACATGGTGTTCATTTGCTTTTCTGCATTTCCAGATGTCCCAGCTGCCCATACCGAAGGCACTAAAGACGCCCGTACCATCAGAGCAGCAGGCGTCTGAACCGTGCGCTGTTAACAGACTCACTGTAGTACAAAGGACATGGCGGCAGTGGTTTTAATAAAAACTTAAATTTGTTGTACAACTGACCGCTGCATTTTTCCATTTTGTCTCAGTTCATTTTAATTGTTTAGTTGCTCTTGGGTAAAATGAGGTGTAAGGCCGCAGTAAGCTGACTGCAGCAGGAGAGCCAGTTTCTTCATTGTTTGAAAGAGCTTTAACCTGCATTTACAGACAATGACTTGTGGAAGAGTCCCTGAGTTCAGGGTGAGACCCAGAACAGAATCGGACCTGTTTTTAATGCAGCGGCTCCAGAGCGCCCCGAGATCACGAGCGTCCAATACTGACCTTCAGCCTCGTCCTTTGAGCTCAGAGCTTTCTACAGATTGTGGAAATCCTTTGTTGATATGATGATCGAATGTGTAATCTTCTCCGTTTTCTTTTGAGGAACTTTATGCTGAAATGTTCCACTAATTTTAGACAGATTTTTGTTTACAGACCGGTGAACCTCTGCCCATCTTTACTTCTGAGAGATTCAGCCTCTTTTTTTTACCCAGTCCTTTCACAGATGACCTCATTTGTTGCAAAATGTCTCTCCAGCTGTTTCTTAGTCATACTGATGTTTGTATCATGTGGCTCCTGTCCCAGCTGTTTAAAGGTCTGCTGCTGCCAGCAAATTTAAAACATTTTTTTTACTTTTACCCAAAACTAAAAAAGTTTCATTAGGAATAAAATGGGTTTGTGAGATTTGCAAGTCATTGCATTCTGTTTTTATTTACATTTGACACAACAGCACTGGTTTTATTTGATATATTAAGGTTCAGTTTATAAGACTGTCTTTACATGTGCACTGTAGATCTCGGATGCTATACGCTCATCTAAACCTGAAACCCACGACTGGAGCTTCCACAGTTTGAAGTACAGCCTGATTCTCTGCCCGTTCGTCGGGGTCCTGGGTGGAGTGTTTTTCCTCATCACCACCCTCTATGTCACTGAAGACAGGAAGGCAGTCCAGCGACTGGTCGAAGGTACCAACCCCAAAATCTCTTTATTTTTGTGTGAAAGGCCCAGTAGAGTCTGAGTCCTTACTGCTGTGAATGTCACATGCTGGAGAGCCTCTGCCGTCCTGAACAACGCTCCTTTGTTTAGGTCAGTCAATACAGACAGCACAAATTCCTCCCAGCTGCTCGGATGCACCAGAAACACAGCAGCTGTTTGGGTTTCTGTGGAAGATGTTCCAGGTTCATGTGCACAAAACATACAGCTTTGTGCAAAACATTTAATCACCTACTGCTGAAACTGTAACTGTTTGTCCAAATATCTCATGAACCCCTGGACAGGTTTTTAAGTTTCTTAGAAAGAAATAATTTATTGTACATCTACATTACCTTTAGGAGTCGACCCCATTTAACCCGTCAATCAATCAATCATCATTTACAGCCCTTTACAACAAGTTCTCCGCAATACAAAGGTTAAAGGAATCAATAAAAACAATACAGAAATGTCAGCGAGCCACTAGGTAAGTAAGTAAGTGCTGTGTGTTGTGTTTCTATACATTGATGAAATTATGGTTCTCTGCATTTAACCCATCACACCTGGGATACACCCAGGTGGAGCAGTGGGCAGCGATGTAAGCACCCGGGGAGCAGTTAGAGATTAGGTGTCTTGCTCAGAGACGCCACGACATGTGGACATGGCGGGGAGCCAAACTGCAACTTTCTGGTCCCAAGTCAGCCGTCCTACCTCTACACCATCTCGGCCTCCTAGGCATTAAAAGCCCATCTGAATAAAAAGATTTCTAAGATTAGATTTTAAAAGGCCCAGATCAGTGGTGGCACGCCAGTCCTCAGGTTGTTGGTTGCACAGTCTGGGTGCACCGACTGAAAAGGTCCGGTCACCCCCAACAGTTGCATTTTGACTTTGGGACAGACAGTAAAATCAGAATCAGCTTTACTGTCATTGCACCGAAGCACAATGAAATTACATTTCAGTACAGCCTGTCAGAGTAAAACATAAACAAACAGACATGGGGGGGATGGAGGTGTCCGAGGCCGCGGCACCATGGGAGGTGCAGCATTTTTTTTGTTCAGATAGGAAAAGAGAAACACGGGGGAAGGGTAGGTATAAAAACCAATCATACAGGTATATCACACCATCTAGGACACAGTGTGAAAGTTGCACAACAAAAGACCACAGCATAGAAACAGCAACACACTGATGACATACAGGTATATGCATGAAGAGGCTGACGAAGGCGGTGCGTTTATCCGTGGCCACTGCCAGATAGTCCTTATAGTCCCAATAAGATGGTGCAGTGTCTATCAGGCGGCTCAGCTCTGATACAGGTCCACAGATTTCCTTGAGAAGGGATTTAAGATGTTAATCTTAAGATTCTCTCATACTCACGATTAGCTCCTATATTAGCTAAATAAGGTGTGAGACCGTTAAGGGTTTTAAACGTGAACAATAAAAGTTTTAAATCAACTCTAAAATAGACTGAAAGCCAGTGGAGAGAAAATATACTGATGTGATTTAAGATGGCTGCCACCAGGCGAATCAGCCTTAGTAAACACAGAAACAGCTAGAACTTGGTCAAGTTTATTGAAATTGAGCTAAAATTTTGTATCATACTAGCTAAAGCTCATCTGCAGTGCGAGTACGAAGTGAACAGATTGTCCAAGATCTTTTTATATTGTGAGCTTTATCATAATGTTGTTTATAAGATTTGATCTAAATGGTTTTATCTCTTTCTTTTCTGAACATACTGACTTTAGTTGAATCCTCTGGTCTGAAAGGCTGTGTGTGTCTTCAAGGAATGCCAAGTATTTTCTTTGAATTGTGCTTTTAAGGAAGCTGCCATGTTTATTTTTTAATTTGTCTGAAACAACACTCCCTCTGACAGTCTAAAAAAAATTGTCCCTCTGCTGCTTGTCTACTAATTGTCTCTCCAGTCCTTTTTTCAGAGTTGCTATTTTCAGAGATATTTTGCTTATACAGCCAAAAAACGTTGATTACGTACTGAACCCCAGATTCTATGAGTATAGGCGCAGCCCTTTAAGGCTATTGCTAGTGGGTTTATCCCTTTGCGCACAGCACTGAAAACTTTAGTCCACTCCCACCTGCTGTGTGGGCCTCACCCCCGGTCCGTATAAATTACGGTGAGTACAGAATTTTTTTCCAAGTTTATAGAAACCCCAGGTTTAGCAGGTGTAACACAAGCGTTTTGGTCTGTGCGACAGCTTTCTAACTGGACCGAGCTAATAAGAGCAGATCGTCCAGATAAAAAGTATTCTCATTCCTGCCATGTGTAACGACTGCAGAGCCGTCTCCACGCATTTCGAGAACGTGCGTAGGGTGTTTCAAAATGATGGAAATGTGAAAATATGCGCTCTTCAGATCTATGGAGGTGAAAACCAGTCGTTCTGGTGAAGTTCTCCAGCAGCTGTTTGTCAGCATGTGGAATTGTCTCCCCATGATCGAATTGCTGAACATGAACAGGTCGAGAATGGGTCTCATCCTTCCTTTTTTTTTTTTATCAGAACCAGGAAGTAGTGGGAGGAAAAAAAACGTATTTTCCTCTCGGTTGGGAACTCTGGAAATCACGTTTTTCATCAGAAATTACTGAACGTCTAACTTGAGAGACGAGCTCTGTTCTGGAAAAGACAGAACCGTCTCTATAATCCTTCTGAACGGTGGGGGTTGAGCTGCGAACTGCAGCTTGTAACCCCTGCTGATCAGACGGTCCGTCCATCTGTCCAGGGAACACACTCACTGCCACTCTAAGTAACGCTCGGAGAGCGGGCATGCATTTTGTGTTGTCATGTTTCTCATGAACGTCAACCAGACTAAAAAATCCTTACTGCCATCACTCGCTCCGGAGATTCTCTGTGGGGAACCCAAGGGGGGCTCCAACAGAAAAAAGGGCTGTATGTGTGCCTCTGTACTGGGCCCAGGCTGCGGTCTCGCATAGAGCTGAAGTGAGCCGGCGCGCACTGAGAGGGGGCGTGAGCACTTTCTGAGTGAGACGCCGTTTTGGTGGAGGCTGCAGCCGTCGTGGAGAAACACGTTTACTCCCGCTGCACGGTGAGTGGGCAGAAAACAGCAGAAATTAAAAATGGGCTCTGGCTGAAAAACGAGGGATTTTACCGGATTCGGTCTGCTGAAAAAAAACATAATTTAGCTGACGTGGCAGACTATTGTTTGTGATATTTACTGAACTGTGGTGCCATTTAAAACACTGTTTAGAGGTTACTGCCTCGTTCTGTGTAGGGAATGTGCGAAGAGAGGCAGCTGAGAGATAAGCTGATCTGACAGTCTCAGATGAAAACTTTACTTTCAGAGGTGTTTCTGTTTTATATCCAAACATACATCATCAAAAACACACACATTCCCCTCAAGGATCTGTTACCTGGTGGAGGGGGCCGGCAGAGGAGCGGGGCGTGAAGTCGCTGCCACAGCTGTGGAGCGCCTCTGGTGCTGTTGCTGGCCAAGGTGGTCCCTCTAGCGGCTGGAGGGGCGGGAGGAGGACTGTGACGTCACCAGATGGTGTACAGTCTCTGAGACCTCCTCAGACCTCTGCGATTTTTCAAGGATGGTCCTGAAGTTGGCCCCAAACAGCACCTCTGGGGTGATGGGGCCCTCCAGCAGGTCTTTCTGCAGCCTCTCGGACAAGGATGGCGAGAGATGGAGCCAGGTGGTCCTCTGGATCATGGTCATCCGGCAGCGATGCGGGACAGGCAGACCTCAAAGGTGGCGCACATGTTTAAGATGACGTCAGTGGCTTTACAGAGAGAGCTCTTTGTCTCCTCCAGCAGTATCTGCTTCCTCCAGCCTCATAGAGATGCTGAAGGCCAGCAGAGCGATGTTGTTGTTTGCCGCGAACCGCCTGGAATGTGAACTGGTGAGCTCGGTTGGAGAGCTTTGTCACCCTCTGGTCATGCTTTCCTGGAGGGATAGGTTGCTGGTCCATCCTGGAAGCTTTTGCCCCAAGCGCCTCCACCAGGCTTGGCTCCAGGGGTGAGAACCGAGGGGAAAAAAGATCGATTGGTAAAAACCCTCCACTCTGGAGATGGAGGCGAAGGTGGAGACGGATGTCTTCAGCTTGCCGGGCCCAGCTGCAGCCTCGTTCCAATGTGACGTTACAGCTGGACAGCGAGGCCAGATGTGATCAGGGCGATGAGCCGGGGTGAAGCCAAACCTTCCCGTCAGATCATCCAATCAGGGCAGAGGGAGGCGAGGGACGGAAAGTCCCTTGTGTTAGCAGCCTCCTGGATTTTGCCGGGCAACTCTGAGAGGAGGGCGCCGATGGTTGGGAGCGGTGTGGTCACCGACGTGGGAAGACCCAAGGTGGCTGAGCATCCGCTCGGCCGCTCGTATTCTGTCACTACGCTCTCCAGGAGGGAAGGGGCAGCGAGGTTGTTTCCATCATTACCTTTCTCGGAGGAATCATCCGATTCACTGCGTGACTCTGCGTCAAAGAAAGGCGGTGGCGTAGTCCAGTGAGTACCAGCCCTCAACGGAAAAAAAGACTCAGCGGAGCTGCTGCTAACATCACCTTTTTCGAGGGAACCATCCGATTCACCGTGAGGAAAAAAACATTAGAAAAGGCAATGGCGTCACCCAGCAGGTAGCGGCCCTCCACGGAAAAGCACTCCTCGGCGCTTACCTTGAACAAGGCTGCTCGTCTCTGCTTCTCCTCGGGGAGGAAGAGCTCACCGGGACGGCAGGAGGTTGGCATGGCGGAGACCCAGGCATCCTTGGTAAAGGTTGTGCCGGTCAAAGCTGGACAACTTTTCCTTCTTCGTTCTTCTGACAGTGCTAGCTAGCTGGCTGAAGAAATGTACCATATTTGTTTGAAGCAATAGTGATAGCCTTAAAGGGCGAAGCCTATACGAAATAGAACACACCTGTGTATACAGACGCACACACAGACGCACACACAAAAAAACATGATCACCCTTTTGCTTTCAGTGACAAAGAATAATAGAACTGAAAATGCTTCAGAAAGCTATTGTTCGGTGTGTGTGTGTTTTTGTTTAAGGTTACCTTGTAGGGACCAATGTTACAAAAAAAAATGCATTGTTGGAGCAAACTGCTCTTTATGGGGACCAAAGCCAGGTCCCCATAGGAGAAGTCTTACTGGGGTGTTAGATTTAGGGTAAGGGTCAGGGTTAGGCTATAGAATGAATGGAAGTCAATGCAAAGTCTCCAAAAAGTACGTTTACAAGAACGTGTGTGTGTGTAACTGTTTATTTGTGTTTTGTGCTTTTCCAGGGGATCTGCAGCCGCAGCAGGCCCCCACACCTGACTCCTCCGTGGAAATGAGCAACAAGACAATAGAGTAAACTGGAGTGAAGAACTGGTTTGTGATTTCTCCTCCAGAAGCCTGTATTCATGTAGTTATCTTCCACCAGACTTTGTTTAAAGATCCATTCTGACTGGGTCACATGTTCAGTGATGAAACCGTCTTTTATCTCATCCAGAGGGGCAGCTCTTGCTCTCAGGTTCTTCTCCAGCATGTGCACGACACGACACCAGCACTTTGGAAATGAAAATAATTCATCCTCAGACACGCTTATTTTACTTTCATTCACTTTAACTCACAATCTGTTTTCCTTCGCAACAATATCTCAGCGTTTAAAGTGGTTATGTCGAAATGATGACTTCCATCTTAGTGGCACTGTGGAGAGTACTTGAAAAGTTAGTTTTTTTTTTTCTGTAAATACTGTGTTTTCATGTGTTAATACATTTACTAGTCAAGGGGTTGCAATAGCTCAGTGGTCAGTGTCATGGTTTTGTAGTCCTGAGGCCGCAGGTTTGAGCCCAGCTTGCGTCAGAAAGGGCAAGAAAACAAATCTTTCATACGAGATCGCTCACTATGGCAACCCATGAAGGACAAACAACAGCAATAAATGTACAAATAAAATGTTTTGTCAATCTTTTGAACAGCTTGAGTGTTTTCATTTCTTATGTTCTACACATCTGATTATAAAATAATAATTATTATTTTCTTTATGTCCAAACAAAACCGAGATTTCTAATTAAAAACTAAAGCGCTAAATCTAAAACAAACAAACATTTTTTGTTAGTATAAATAATACAACAAAACCAGTGGACAGACGAGCACTGTCGTTGTTTATTTGACTAAAGAGAAGACAAAATGTGTAAAGAATTCAACTCTTCCAGCGATGTGAGGTGAGAAGCAGCAGACGGAGGAGACGAGGGCGGTCACCACTGCAGCATCTGTCATCCAGAGCAGCTCGACCACCTGCAGCTCTGTGGTTGATGAAAGCAGCTCTATGAGCAGAGATCGTTCCACCACCGCTTCCATCCCTGCAGGACATCGATGGAGTCGACCCAAGTCAAGATGGCTGCCACAGCTTTAACTAACACAAAAATGGCTACGACTACTGATTACTTTGAGATATTCTGCTAACAGTACGTGCACGTGTCATGTGGTTCATGTGATGCTCTGATCCAGGATGAGAATGTTTCGTAGAGCAATGATCAAGTTTTCTTTCTTGGGAAATCCCTGCCTATTAGACATGTACTAGTATAAATACTGCAGTATTACTTTCTCTGGACTGTAGGAAACATAAAACGCTAAGTATTTTAACGTAAAGTTCTATGTTTGGGACAGTTGTCACAAATTATTTTATTTTATTTTAATGCTCACGTGGACAGGTTGTGCTCCACTTTTTAACATTTCCTGTTGGAATAAGAAGACGGTGGCTCAGTTGGTAGAGTTGTTGCCTCTCAGACGGTCGCTGGATCAAATCCTGGCCGGGAACCTTTCAGTGTGGAGTTTGCATGTTCTCTCCGTGCATGCGTGGTTTTCTCCAGATACTCCAGTTTCCTCCCACAAACCAAAAACATGCATGTTAGACTGACTGGTAACTAAATTGTACCTAGAGTGAATGGTTGTTTGTCTCTGTGTCCTTGTGATGGACTGGAGACCTGTCCAGGGTGTTCTCCGTCTCCCACACTGTGACCTCCGCAACAAAGAAGGAAAGGAAGAAGTGGGTAAAGATAATTGATGGATGGATGAAACTTTGAGATGCTGATGGGTCCTCATAAGGTTTTGCTCCACGTTTGTCCACTAGGTGCCACAGTTGCATCACAGTGGACATAAGACTTCCTGTTTCCCCACATTAGTAAAGAATGGATGTTATTCAGAAAAAATGCCAGATCTCCGTCAGAGTAGTTTGCCCAACATGCCAGTTTTTCATGTGTCTGTTAAAGATTTTAAAATGTCTGCTCAGTCATGTAAAGTCAACCTGTTGGTGACTCGTTTGAACTTTACTGTGAAGTTTGAGTCATAAAGCTCCAAAGATGGCAGTTTTTTTTTATTTCTTTTCATTTTTGTCAAAGAATAATTACAACTCACAGGGCTCTCCTCCTTTGTCTGTACGATGCAGTACCACTACCAAAAGTCCAAACCATTAACACATAATTAGAGCCAGAAGATGAATCCTAAAAAAACTACCTCCCTCTAGGCCGCAGTAAAAACTTTAAATCTCCGCCCTCAATGCAAACTAATGAAGCTTTTTATATTTTTTAATGACAGATTTTATATATTGTATTTTTCATTGTATAAGTCGCACCTTTTTGCATAAATTTGCAAGTCCTGTGACTTGTGTATACACCGAAGCAACTAAAATACCCCCCCATTTATAACCCAATCTGACTGTCATTCATTCTGACATGGAAAATATTGAACACTACCATTTTCAGCCGCTAGAGGGCCCTCGAGCTGTATGGCAAGCCAAGTGTCTCATTAATAGGTAAAAGTGGCTATTAATGAGACACTTGGCTTGCCATACAAGCCACCTTCGTCTCTCTCCAGAACTCCTGGAGGAAACATCAGATCATCTGCATTTCACTGCACCGCCCAGGAGAAATGCAGCTGATTTGATAATTAAAGTGCATTTATGAATGAAAAGTTCAACTGAGGCACACCTTTATTATAATGTCGAGCAAACAAATAATTGTTTTTAAGTGTTAATCTTATTAAATTCTTGTTAAAATCCTCCCGTGCGCGCTCCCACGGCTGCCATTTGGCAGCCAATCGATTTTTGACACAACACCGACCCACATTTCCGGTTTGTCAGCGGTGATACATGCAACTTATGTGGCAAAACGACTTATTTTTATGTTTTTTTTCCCACTTTATTAGACATTTTTTAAGTGATGCAACTCATACGGTGGTGCGACATGTAGAACAGAAAGTACGGTAGTTTGTTTAGGTGATTACTTTTATTATTGTTTTTTATTTTTGCTGATTCTTGTAGCTGTTACCTTGCTACTTACTGTATGTTCATGTAGGTATTTTAAAAATATATTTATTTTAATAGTAACGTGAGGCTCTTAAAAGTATATTACATTGTGACTGACAGTGTGACGGCCTTTTAATGAGTTAGAAGGGTGTGTCGTAGAAGTTCAGGATCAATTTAATGTAGTTTATTTATAGCACCAAGTCACAACAAAGTTGTCTCAGGGCACAGAACAAAAACACTCACATACATATAAAAGTCAATTAGTAAAAGTTATCTGTCTAAGGAAGGAAGTCAAGATCAAGGGTACAGCACCACGTTTCCTGTCTGAAGACACAACATGGCAACATCCCCCACCCACACCACCACCCCAAAACATAAATTTTGGCTTCCGTTTTGGACAAAGGAAGTTAATTATTTCTCTTTGTTCATGTCAGTGCTCATAATCCACTGTTATCAGTCGAACTGCACTGTTTGATTTAGGCATTGTCCTGCAAGAGCTGGCGAATATTGAAAAACGGGATGGAAATGGAAAACTAGCGTCAGTGCTTGAACATTGGCCCTCAATAATATGAACTTCATTTAAACTCTTGCAACTCAGTCTAAAAGTCATGTCCACTTTAGCGATATAGGCAGCAAATAAAACAGTTTAGTCTGGATAAATTA